CCAGAACAATGCTGGTCGGTGCTGGGGCGTGTTTGCGCTGCCCTGTAACCTGAGCTGTAAGGGGGCAAGAGGCCCGGTAGAGAGATCTGGGGAGTTGTCGAGGGTGGACGGCACTCCAGTGTCTGTTGGCAAGCTGGTACTCAGACGACGTTGGTCGGAGCCGGGGTGAGCCGCTTCACCCTGTAGCCCAGCAGGTGGGGAATTGTTCTGGAGTGGGTCGCGCCACTCTCTTACCTAGCAGTTAGGGGTGCGAGGCCTGGTAGAGACTGGGTATACAGGACATGGGGGTTGAGGTAGGCTTAGGGTAGGTGGCTGAATAGCACTAAGGCATTTTGGTTCTAGGCTGAAAGCTTCCGTGGATTCAAGATTCGAGGTAGTAGGTGCTCATGGTTTTTCTAAATTTACTTGAATACTCTCAGTTGATTCTTAGCTGAAGCTGGGCAATGGCCCTGGCATTTCACATGTTTTGTAAAAGTCCATATGGGACGCTGGACCCGGTTTCCAGCACGTGCTGCTCCCCACGAATGGATTGGCGCACCATTTGTTTCCCTTCCCCCACAAAAAAAAAAACTTTCCAGCAGGTGGAGCTCCCCTCCAATAGATGGAGCTGTGGGTCATATGCTTACAGGCGTCATTGTTCCAGGGACAGCAATGATGTACATTTAGCGCCACCAGCCCCAAGGCTCTGTCGGGAAAGAGGAGGCCAGAAGCTACGGAGGGAGTGTGCTCCGGAGTCGGCACTGGGTCCAGCCAGATGCAGCACGCACAGAGGCAAACCGAAAAAGTGGTCCATGTCCTTCGGGACATCCGTTAAAATTGGAACGATACAGAGAAGGGGCAGATTAGCAAATGGCCCCTGCGCTTTCAAGGATTACACGCATAAATCGAGGAATGGTCCAAAAAAACAAAAACAAAAAAAAAACAGGTGGTCCAACAAAACAATATTCAGTCCTTCAACTTCCAGCAACACAATAATAAATGCATGGTAGTCTTGTCCTTACAAAATGTAAACGGGGTATTTCTGTTCTCCGTGCATTATATCAAGTTATAAACCAATGAATGAAGACTGCAAGCAGGGTAGCATTGTACAGGCTCAACACACCTGGCTGTAACTGAAGAACACATGAGCTCCCCCCCATCAGAACTACCACAACACAGCCCCCTGCAAAATGAGATAAAAAAATTATATATATAATAAAAAGGTCGAAGGGGGTAGAACACCTGGCCACACTGGCCCCCATTCAACTTTTTTTTTTCCCTTTTTTTTTAGGCTAGTGATTCGTTTAAGTCCAACCAATTCAAGTACCTGTGAAATCTGGACAGGACAGCCCTTCAGGCCTTTTTTCATTTATACTTTTTGTATTACGGGGAACCCTGTAGCTGCCAGCCTGTGTCCACGCCTCCAACGAGGGAACATGCAGGGGCTGCACCCGACCTGTAGGTGGGGGATACTGGCCAGGGGTCAGCCCGTGACATCAGGACCAAGCTCCTTCGACGATGGCCCAGACATTGTGCCTCCCCTCTGGTCCCCTCCCCCTATGAACATCAGCAGTCACTGCTCAATGCCACTCGGGGGAACCAATGGACTATCTCTACGTGGCGCGCTCCAAGCTTGCGCAGGAAGGTACATGAGGCCAATTGCGATTGAACCCAAGACCTCCTGAATGCCACTTGCGTGCCGTACCAACTGAGATAGGCCACTGGATCCATTCGTTCTCTTCTCCTTTCTCTTTTCTTTTCACCTTTCACTATCTCCGGCAACTGCCCCCCCAAAACACAAAAAACAAACAAACAAACAAATACATAATCAGTCAGAGGGGATATAGACAAAGAAAGGAGGGATATCGCTGTGTTATCAACTTATTAATTGACATGGAAAAAGCCTACGATCAAGTAGGCTGGGCCTTTGTGATGACTACAGTTAAACCACCAGTACTTGGCCCAGCTATTGGCCGCGGAAAAGAAATAGAGTAGAAATGTTTCTAGTCTGATGAATTTGGGCGCTCCTGCAGTGGCCCGTACGTTCCCTAAAATAGTGGCTTGTTAACGGGCACAACTTTAGGAAGTGCTGGTGGTTGAGAACATGAACTTTGGGCCAAGCTCCTGCCACTGGGTATCTATTATGTATTCTTCAGCAACCGCATGGGTAATGGTTAATGGATGGACAAATATCAAGGGAATTCTCTTTAACAGTTTAACTAGGTCTTTGCATCAAGGATACCCTTTGGCAAATTGGCACCCCTTTTACTTGCAATTCATACGGAAATCCTATCGGATAATGTGAGATTCAATAACCGCATTCAGTTGTGGGGGTAAGGTTCGTACAAGAAAATCAAGATGGCCAGGCGCAGGAAGGATTTATCGCCAAAATTGCATGGGAGACTGTGACCTTTCCAAGGACTGAAGGCACCTCTGTCTCACTTGCCCAGCTTCACGGCGGCTTTGGGATTGGTGGGTTCAATCAACATTGGAAAAGATTCACAAAGAATGCCTTCAGCTGGTCAGATGAGTGGATGATCTCCGGTACTCGTCACCATACTTGCAAGCAGACGGACCGGACGAGCGTCCGGTCCGGTCCGCTTTGCCACGTGCGGCATCCTCCCCCCGGACCAGACGGACCCGGACCGAACCGGACCGGACCGGACGGTTTTTTTTTGGGGGGGGGGTGGGGCGTAACTGGTCGTCGGGCGCACATTCGTGCGCCGTGCGGGTCCGGTCCGGCGGTCTGCCGCACATGCGGAACCGCCCGGACGGCGTCCGCTTGCAAGTATGCTCGTCACTGTTCCATCAAGACTGAGCAGGACTGGTCGCACATGCGGAACCGCCCGGACGGCGTCCGCTTGCAAGTATGCTCGTCACTGTTCCATCAAGACTGAGCAGGACTGGTCGTATGTCGCTCAGTCATCAAGGACAATTTTGATGACAGTTATATGTATGGGATGATGACACAGAAAGAATCAGCTATTTGGAGCCTTGTACAGCTCAGTTTCACAGCTAAAATCACAGATAGCCAAGCAGATTACAACTCCAATTCCAACTTCGAAGTGATTGCGTGAGACGAAAAGTGTCAGCCACTGTTAAGTCAAGGAAGTGGTTCAATGATATACGTGGCGAAGGAAGTGGTTTTAATGATATGTGGGGGCGGAACGCAGGTCTTGTTAAGCTGGACTCGTAAGTTGCAGTTTTGTCAGTGGCTACTGACCCCAAAGGGTCATGCGGAGCGCTTTAGATCCCCACCCTAGATTCCCGTTTAGCCATGCCGGAGGGTGGACAGCAGGTGGTGTGGTGTACTGATTACCTGGTGACTTTCCCTTTTCTTTTTTTTTTATTTGGGGAACCTTCAGGAGGGGATCAAAGGGACACTGGACCCGCTTTCCAGGAGCCTAAGCTGGGTAGTGGCCTCAGTATCATTCGAAGTTGAGATTTTTCCCGCCCCCGTCCAAATCGATTTTGAAATGAAGTGTTATGGATCAAAAAAAAAAAAAAAAAAAAAAAAAAAAAAAGAGGGGGCACAAGTCACACAACGCCTGGTCGTGACCGAACAAGAATGACAGTAGCTCCCAGCAAAACCAAAACAAATAGACAGAAGAAGGGGACGTGATACACTGCATGGGACAACAAAGGGAAAAAAAAAGGAAGGGGATGGGATACTCTGCATGGGATACAACAACATAAATAAAAAAAAAGGGGGATGCGATACACTGCATGATTCTCAGATTCCGCCACACTAGGCAGCAGCTACTGAGTTGCTCGTACGAACACAGAGGCCCACAACGCAACGGCTGGGCCCCCAGTGCACGTGGCCGAGTACTACACACATGTAACTGTCGAGGAAGAGATCGTAAGTTCAAATCCCGTCCGACTCAGAGGAATACAGAACAACATGTGGGCTACAAGGCCCTATGCGTCCAGCGAACATCCCACTTCCTCGCACGTAGGGGGCTGATGATGGCCATGCTGTCAGATGCCAAAACCCCCAACTGTGTGGCTGACAGACGTCACATAGTGGTCCCCACTTGCCCAACCGGACAAGGCAAAAAGTGTGTGTGGTTGAAATGTGGAGCGTCAAGGGGACGAGTCGTCGAGAGAACAAAAAGAAAGGTGGTGCAGATGGTCTCCACCCTTGCAAACACAGCCCACTGCCGACTTTGAACGGATAGACCCAATGCGCCTCACTCCACTACTCAACAGTGAACATGTAGGTGTCCAGACTGGAAAGTGGACCATAAACATTTGTCTTGACGGAACATTTCGAATGTACTGGGAGTCTGGGACCAGTGTTAGCTCCAGATACATTTCGAGTGTTACGTGGTGGAGCGATACTCAATGTCACCCAACTGTTCGGCAGCAAAGCGTATCCAGACGACGCACAGACGGAAGACTTGCAAAATGTACAAAGAAGGGGGAAACAACACAAACGCATTTAATTTATTATTTTGGTTTTCAATGTTGACCCTAACGAAGGGAGCACCTTGTCTGTGATTACCTGTCATGGATGGTACACACTTAGAAGTTAGAGCCATTCATCAGATTTTATCATAAAAGGAGGCTAATCCCTCCCCCAATTACTCCAGTACTCCGCCCCCTGCCACCCCTCGCACCCCTCACACCCCAATTACTCCAGTACTCCGCCCCCCGCAAAAGGAGGGAAAACAGAGAAGAGAAAACCTAGACGACTGCAAACGCCAATGAGCGTAGCTCAGTTGGTACACCAATGAAGTGTTGAAATACAGACCCGAGTTGAAATCCTGGCGGATCTAGACGTATGCAATGATTAAGAAGTCAAAACAAAAACAAAAACAAAAAAACAGCCGCAAACATACGTCCCCAGAAAATTAGAAAAGCGGGGAAGATCTTCCGAAGTTAAGAGCAAAAATTTCGCCACACAGAAGTTGAGTTGCCAGCAGGCAAGAGAACTCTCAAATGTCAAATTTGAAATTTTGATAAAAAAAAAAAAAAAAAAAACTGCTAAAGCAGCGACGGCCCACATACAGGAAAAACCGTTCTTTTCCAGTTTATCGAAACATGGTTTTTAATCTCTCTTTCCTCGCTATGGCTCCAACCATCGCTCACAATTTCTCAGAAACGAACACATATGCAAATACTATCATATTCACATAATATATCAGCCTACCGCTAGATTCTTTGCGCCTCCTGCTCCCCGCACCATTCAGCAGCCCAACCTCCTTTCCTTCCTCCACAGAGAAAAAACTTTCAGAGAAAATCAAGTTACACTGTCGCAACGCCGACTCAGCTCCAACAAAAGCACAACAACAGTTCGAATCCCGGGTAATCATCATGAGCTTTTATCGACGGGGAGCTTATCCATGTAAATTATTGACTCAGCTCCACCAGAACGACAACAGTTCGGACCCCGGGTAATCATCATGAACTTTTATCTGCGGGGAAGTTATCCACGTAAATAATCCATCTCACCAAGATGAGATGTACGCACCGAACATTCCCTTTCTGCTACAGCTTCCTTGCCATTTCCAGAACGCTCTGCTCTTCGCCTCCGTGTCCTTAACACCACCCACTATTTTTCCCTTTTAGGAAAGTAAGTGCGTTCCTCAGCCTGGATCATCTCGGAGAGGCTCCAGACTCCTCACTTGCCGCCGCATGCCAACACCCGTAACCCCCTTTCTCCTCTTTCTTCCCCTACATGGTACGACTGACCGGTTGCTCTTGCCTGATGAGCTGTGGCTTGCCTGATGAGCTGTGTCTTGTTCTTCTCCCTCCTAACGCCTCCCACCCAGCGAACAAGGAGGGGTCGTGTATCCACAACCAGCCATTTCACCAACCATGAATGGCCCTAGTATCACCGGCGTGGTAATACATCGATGATTACGTAGTGACTGACTCCGATCTAGACTTTCCTGCATACGTCTGATCGTAATGCGGTCAAAGTCAATGGAGACGTCCTCGGTCAAAGTCAATGGAAATGTCCTCGGTCAAAGTCAACAGAAACAGCCTCTGGTCAAAGTCAATGGAACCGTCCATGTCGGAGGATTACATAATACACATACATACATGGGGAAAGCCTGTTTTGCCGCACAGCATTGGGCCCTACCGTTCAGTCAACAACCAAACAGAGTATAAAGAACTGCACCTGGATGAGCCACGAAGCAGGGAATCAATCCCAGAAAGAACACCAGGGGCCTAGACGACCATTTCATATCCCAGTTCTGACTCCTGCGTTTCCACTTCCCTTTGCATACCATCTGCAAGCATCCACGAACACTTCAGCCCATCGTAAGCATGTTTCCACTCACCGTCCATCACACAGATCAACACCGGGGAACGCAGGATCTTGAGAAGCACCGCCGAAGACGGCTAACCTCCTGAAGAGGTACAGAACTGCTATGTATCAAGACCTCGAAACAACCAGCAAGAAGTGGCACTCTTCGTCGAACCCCTTCAAAGGGTATCAGTTCATCCATCACTGGAACAAACAATTCGACGACATCGAATTATATTCCATACATCCCGTTTACCTACTTCCATAGATGGCCAAGCGCTAACGTTACTTGTCATCTTCGCCCACCTCCTTCCTACTCTGCACTAACCTCTCCACACAATTGCAAAACATCTCTCTCTCTCTCTCTCTCTCTCTCTCTCTCTGTGTCTGTCTGTCTGTCTCTGTGTGTGTAGATGTGTGCGTGTGTGTCTGTGTGTATGTGTCTGTGTGTGTGTCTGTGTGTGTGTCTGTGTGTGTGTGTGTGTGTGTGTGTCTGTGTGTATGCATGGCCCCCCCTACCCCCTCGTCCTCCCTTGTGTGCCTGAAGCTGTTAGCGCAAGCCTCAAGCCGCGTGGCCAGCTTAGGATACGTAATATTTGACAGCCTGTACTGGCTTGTGGGCACAACCCAAATTTCATTAATAAATAGATCCTAAAGAATCGGAGGTGAAGGGGGAGGCCAAATGTGCACCGATGGCACGAACCCTCAGCTCGCCATGGAGGCAATTCTCTGCCTCCGGACTCTTTGAAGTGACCGAAGGAGGAAGAGGAGGAGGAGGAACAGGAGGAGGAGAAGCTGAAGGGAAGAACTCAGTTCCCGCATCCTGGACATCTCCAGAGGAAAAGGACTCACCGAACCTAGATCGATGACATCACTCATCAGTTGCTAACGAGTTTGCGAAGCTGTCGTCTCTTGTGACTTGGCCGATGAGAGAGCCGATGACCCTCCCGTGGCAGCCGTCGTTGCGATACCCACACTTGCTCCTGTTGACCTTGCAGATGAAGAACTCATGCTTCGTGGCAATTTTAGCATGCCTTCCGCTCCAGCCCCTCCTCTTCCGCTCTCCAGCATCCGAGCGGGGCTCAGCGTGCCGGTAGAACCTTCCGAGCGTCCACCTGGGGTCGGTGTGCGAGGTGCCAACGCCAGCGTAGCCACAGGAAGATGAACAGCCGAGGAGGGGGCGGCGGCGTCAGCTGGAGAGGGCTGCCCCACATCACCTCCTTCACGCCGCCCATCTAATTCTACTCCTCCCAAATTGGCGGAGGGAGACCTCATGGTACTCGCTGCAGTAGCCAGCCCCCCGCCCCTGCTGTTCACCGCTTCCACCGCCTTGGCCACCGCCGCCAGCGGCCTGTTCATGAGAATTTCCTTGACCTCCTTGAGAAACGAGCCATGCGCGATAACCTTCTTGTCGTGCACGAACACGTGCGGTGCCAAGGCGATCTGACTCAGCTTAATTTCATCCCCCACTTGCTCCTCAATATCGCTCAGCGTATTGGCCTTCACAAACTTTCTGTAGACCTTGCTGCTCAGGAAGGGCTGAATCACGTTGAAAATAATCGAGAACCATAGAGTCAGGTGGATGAAGATCACCCGCTGCACGTTCTTCTTGTATGGCCGTGGCAAATTTTGATACACTTTCAAGCACCACCACGCGGGAACCTTGGTCGGAGCCGCCTTGTGCAGGTTTTTCGGCGTCGTCACAAACACCAGAACGTACGGCTCCTGCACAATGGGATCCATCCTCTCCCTGATCATCGCCACGGCAGCAAATCGCAGCCTTGGCGGGGGGATGAAGCTTGCATCGATGACCACTATCGGTCGTCCAAGCGAGTCTTTCCGATCGATGTTAACCAAGCCAGTTAACGTGATGGTTACCTCCGTGTTAATCCGGTCATAATCGTGAGGCCTGTAAATCCGCATTTGACGAGACCGTTCCTCCTTCTCTCTGGCTGCATCCGCGCTCCCATAGCCTTTCAGCCTGTTGGTTTTCTCCAGCCCACCGAAGGTCAGGCTCTTCGTCAACAAGGAGCCGCCGCCGCCACCCTTGCTGCCGTAAGTCACAGGCGACAACGGACCGGAGGCCACCAAACCGTTCTCTCTCTTCAAGTCTGCAATCGCAGACACAGATCTGCGGAACTGCCTCGTCGCCATCTCCCCACTCTTCTCGTCTGCAGTGCTAGTCCCGTCTCCCGTCAGAACCCCCTCCTCTCCCTCTCTCCGCCCCCCCAGATATCCACCCTCCCTCATGGCCGCGACTGTGGCCATTTCCATGATCATTTCCGTGAACCTGGGTGACTGCTGCGCCACAAGTCCCAGTTCCAAGAACTTATCTATTCCCTGCATCATGTGCCAGTCACCAACATCGGGGGAGAAGGAACCAAGCTTCTCCCCACGCAGCCCTACGCCTCTTCTCTCTGCTCCTCCCTCAGTTGCACTGCAATAATTACCCGATGCCACAGACGAAGGACTCGTTGTTAACGATCCAAGACTGCGAGGGCTCGCTCCCGCTATCGATTTGATACCCCCACCTCCCCCTCCAACCACCCCCAGTCTCTCTCCTTCCTCCAGCGTTCCTTGTGCGGAAGATATGGTGCTAGAGCTCCCACTGCTGGACGTCGGCGTCCCTGCCAACGATGCCGTGCCAATCCCACTTCCCTTAGGGCTCATCAACGGCGGGACTACCGAAATTCCTCCGTCAAATCCCGGCCTCCTTATGGAGCTGCTCTCTTGGAGCCCGCCAAGCTTGATACTTGTCTTCGCTCTGTCTCCGTGCTTCTCTAGTCGGTACCTCGCCTCCTCGATTGCTGCACGTGTCAGGTCCCTGCTCAAAACCCGCTTGCTGCCGATGGGCTTCCGCTCACCTCCTTCTCCTATGGCCTTCCGCTCACCTCCTTCTCCTCTGCTACCGCTTCTACCGTGATCTCCCGCGATAAGTTCCACCATCCCGTCCTGACGTCTCTGCACAACGCCGAACTTCGCCGCCAATATTCCGACAGAGTTTTCCTGACTACCCGAGGCAGCCTCGGTGCCTCGGTCTCCTCCAGTTCCACCGATTGCAGAGGCTGAACCCGAAGAGAAATTATCAACCATGTTTCCCGTGACAACACTCACATCCTCCCCAGCCATCATCTTCTCCCGAGAAAAGAACTCTCCTTGACCCTACGGGAAAAGCCTGACCGAAACACACCTCCCTCCCCCTTTCCTCACCGCCGTCAGCCCTCCTCCCTCCACTCTTTACCCACTATTCCATCACAGCGCCACCCCTTCTACCAAAGCACACAGAGAGACCCGTGGATTCCATGTGCATGCAGCCCCTGACCTTCTTTGTCTTCCTTTCACCCCAGCGACTTGTTCGCCTCTTTCCCTACTTTTGCTACAACTCCATCAGAACACCAGTCCTACACAAAGCGCACAAAGACACCAGCGGACTTGACTCGCAGCGCACCCTCTGTCTTCCTCCTCTCCTCCCTCCTCCTTCCTCCTTCCTCGCCTCTTCCCGCTTTAAACCTTGTGATGTGAAGAAGACCAACCTCCTCGAGCCAACTCCAACTCCACTCCCTTCTTCTGTATTGCGATTAAGAAACCTTCCACCCGACTTATCCTTTTCACCGGCTTTACCCTTTGCACCTGTTTCCGTCCGCGGCGGCTCCAGAGCGAATCCTGCTCCTCTCTTTCCCCTGCGCTGCTTTCATCCGACGTAAACAGAGTGAAATAGGCACCACGAAGCACAAGACACAAAATTTACTTTTGGCTGTATGAAGATGATGCTGGGAAGGATCTGACGAGACAGGCACAGAAGTGAACACCCCTCCCCACCCTCCTCTCCCCAGGAGGATGGCTCAGGAATATACGAAAGTTTCAGGTTTTGGGGTGTATTTGGGGTGGCACAGGCTAACGAACTGCAGGCACACTCTGCTAGCCATTTGGAGCAGTATCTATCTGGCGCCCACAGATCAGGGTGAAGAGGCAGATCCCGTGGTCCCGCAAAGGTCCACACATCTCAGAGATCCAATCTCTCATCCAATCTCTCATCATGCAACAGCGCTACCACAGTGCTCAGGCACACACAACGGTATTTGGATACAGCTCGCACAGAAGACACGGCCAGACAAGGCACAGCACACATCTGTTTGCAAACTCGAATTGTGCAGGGAGGCTGGACCCGATTTCCAGCAGGTGCTGCTCCCCACCAATAGATGGAGCCTTCAATACCCCATCAAACAGGCCCCCCGTGCCGGAAGTTAAAAAAAAAAAAAAAAAAAAG